TTGAGTATGAAATTGGAAGAAGACGTGATTTTCTGCCGAATAAGTAAAAGAATGAATATTTTTATGCATGTTTTCCATTAAATGTAATTGCATTTTCAAGGGCATCGAAAATCAATAAGAAAATTGCATGCTACTTAAGTAGTCATTTTTTGCAGAGTATAGATCTTGCATGCAGCCGAAAATAAGTTTTTTTCGAAAGCCGACACCCTGAGGTAATTGGATCATTTTAGATTTATGCTGCATCATGATTAGTTTTACAACACTACTTAATTTATCTTTTCGAAACGAGAACGCATTTCGAAATTTTGGTTGACATTTCATGAGTTAGTATAATGCCTTTAAATTGGTTTTCTGGGTGATAGCAATACACTTACCGTGACCGGCGATCAATGTCGAGTGATACTGGAACGGTTTGTGGGTCCTGCAACGGAAGACAAGCCTGAGCCTTGGGGACAGCAAGGCGTAGCAGTTACTAAGGCAGATCGTCAAAAAGCAAACGATTTCATGCAATTGGAATTTCCGCCAGCTTCTGCACTTGCCCACTTCGACGAGCGCACGCCTATTCGTTACTGTTTCTGCTAGTGGGTTCGAGAGTGAACTCTAGGAGTCAAAGGTAATAAATGATGGTGGCGGAAGTTGAATGCTCTTCTCCACTACTTCTCAAGACAGATTTATTGCAGGCCGGTAGGATACGGGAACAGGTAGCCCTCGTAGCACAAGTAGCCTAACGATAATTTCCAAGAGAAGTGCCGCTTCCCATGGCTTAGTCCGAACACTGATTCCGTAAAGTTTTGCGCAAGGCCACCTGTAATACAGGAGTCCTGGTGTCCTGCTAACAGAACTTATTCGTTAGTCCTCCGATGGCTACGCTGTATTCATAGGCCATTAATAACGGACAGCCGGAAATGTTGCTTGGGAAAACCAGATGGTAATATGTGGTTTGGTAGCCCCACCCGATGAACATAATACTGTTGGGGTTGGCGTTAAGGGTTAGTGTTAGGGGTTAGGGTTAGGGGTTATATTTTGGGGGTCAGGGTTAGGGTTCGGCGTTAGCGCAACTATTTCTCAACCATTCAAAGTAAAACCGGACATTCCCAATAGCTTTTTTTGCATACAACTACTTAACATCGTCGCCTGTGCGTTCCCCGGGTCAACCTATAAAAACCCCTCTTACCACCGGTCCTGTATTAGAGATGACTGGGGTTCGTTTACTTCAGCTGGGGCTTCATAACCACATCCGACCAAACAGACGCCAACATAATCATATCCAAGTCAATTCAGCCCCCTCTTTAATAACCGAAAAATATCCAGGGCTTCAAGAATACCACACTTATGCGTCTCTGCTAATGCGCTGAAAACGGACAGACATGCAACAGCTATCGAGGAAACTTCCTATCACTGGAAAAAAACCGCTCATACTCTGTTCAGTCGTCTGAGCTTGCACCTGGAAAAAGGGACTTTCGCTGGAGACCACGTGGACTCGGAAAACTCAAATAGGCCGCAGACTTAGTTACTGCTGCCCAAAACGGCAAGATAAACAGAAAAAATAGAACGGCTTATACATTATTACGGAGGTCTTGACGCCATGCAGCCACAGGAAAAGTTTAAAAAATTCGGATACCCAGAATGTCTCACTCCGATGACCAAGTGACTTGAGAATGAATAATGGATCAGTCTCGAGCATCTCGGTCATGACGAATGTGGTGAAGCAGGGTCACGTACTTGACCCAACCCTCGAGAGCCTCGTGTTGACGCAATGTTGATGGACAACCATTGGAATGCGCAATAAGTTGGCCTCATCATTTGTAAAATCACCGGGAGACCGACCGACATCTAACAGGTGCAGGCCCCAGCGAACGTTTCCAAGGTCAGGATACAAGAACATCTATTCACTGAAGACTGTATGTTCCCAGCCGCAACCAAAATGGAAATTCAACGCTACTGGTACGTCGTCGAATTCTGCTATCTTAAATTCGGGCTGTGCCTTAACACTGAGAAGAAAGTAGTTGTGAATAAAACCGACGGAAATGACAGAATATGCTGAATATATGGTGACACTTCGACCATCGGTTTCGATGATGTCCACCGTGGGCCCCACAGTTGCAGAGGCAGTGGGAGCAGAAACGGTGACTTACGCAGGGGTTTCTAGTCCCAGTAGACTTGCGCTGCATCTACCTACACTCTCTCCACCTCCCTCGCCCGAGCCCGGTGTCAAGACAGAGTCCAGAAGACCGGAGAAGAGGGAGGCCGCAGGTGGATGGCTCGGACGGATCCTAACCTTGGCGTTCCACCACACCCCCTGGTCCACACAACAATAACCAGGATTTTAACCAACATAACAGAGATTTGGAGGCTGGCACGACCGAAGCCGCACCTAGGCGTGCCGCCAACGCCGGGCCCGGATCCCACACTGTGGTAGGAGTGCCATAAAGGCCACATTAAAAAGGAGCCATTGCAGCCTGACTCTCAGACCGCCTCCGGTCAAGGAAGAGGTCCAAGTTACCCCGTCAGTTGGCAACCTTCCAAGCCACGGCTTTTAGCGCACCGTGATAGCTTCAAGCGCGTCAGATTGTTTATAGTGAGGAGAAAGTGCGCTGAGTCGTCGACCTCACTCTCCCTTCCCACTCCCACACCTCAGCCCCTGTCCGAGCCGGTCAGCAGACTGGAGTGGGGAGTGGGCGCGGTGGCTGTCATGGTCGACTGACCATGACTGCGCGCGCCACGGAACGACCTGGCCCCCCATACACACAACACCAGGATTTCACACAACGGGGGTTGAACGGCGCGTCTCTCACTTGCGTGAGAGGGCTGTGAAAGGTGCAGCTTTAGCCCGTCCCCAGCCAACCAATCCGCCACACCACACAACACACACACACACAACGCGACGAACTGCGTGAGCCGAGAGCGGGCGTCAATCAGCAACCTTCCTATCCACGACGCTTGACGTGTCGGGATAGTCTCGGACTCAAGTCACCCGTGCAGCCGAAGCCGCATGGGGACCGAGTCAAGATGCGGACTTCCCACTTGCGTGGGAGGTGGCAGTTGGGTGCGTGTTGATGTGTGGTGGTGATGGTGGAGGAAGGCAGGGAGTGTGTGAATGTGTGGTGTGACCGGCGGTTGTCTACCGCAGGTCATCGTGGATGCGCATGTGTCCGAATAGGCCCATGCGATGTCTGAAAGTGCGAGGGCAGTGTCGACAGTTGAGACGAGCTTGGTGGGTATAGGTGGGTGCTCCAGGCACTGGTTCGCCAGTCTCTGTGCGATGGATTCGCAAGTGACCGACCAGGCCGATGTGTAAGGTGGACGTGCGTGGGCAGTGTGGGCATGAGAGGTCGGTGGTGTCGGTGTCAGCTGTAGAGGAGGCAGTGGTGATGGGCGCGTATGGCGATGGAGCAGGGGTGGTGCTGGGCATGGTGGATGTGTTGGATGTGGTGGGTGTGTCGGAATTGTGGTCAATTCCGCTCTCGTGGATGCGCATGTGGCCGAATAGACCCATGCGGTGCGTGAAGGTGCGAGGGCAGTGTGGGCAGTGGAGGCGAGTGCGGTGGGTGTAGGTTGGTGCTCCAGGCACTGGCTCGCCAGTCTCTGTGCGATGGATTCGTAAGTGACCGACCAGGCCGATGTGTGAGGTGAAGGTGCGGTCGCAGTGAGGGCAGGTGTTGTCCTGATCCTCATCGCTGGAGTCGGGAGAGGTGGGGGTGGTGTCTGTTGTTGTTTCGCGGTTGGTGATGTGCGAGACGGCCGCCTGAGCGGCCGCCGTTGGGGCAGTGGTGGAGGAGGAGGAGAAGGAGGAGGTGGA